TATCTGTTATCTGGTGGGGAGGGGGAGGTAGTTTGCTAAGAACAGTCATTCAGGGACCCAGGCTGAGAAAGTAGCATATCAACATTTCAAACATTATCCATAACAGTGCCATAGGGAAAAACTAAATTCTGGAGGATGTTGTGCTGCACACATTTACATGCTCAAAGTGGTGACATTCATCAATTCCACAACTCACTGGCCCCACTCCACCACAAGTATCAAATGTGCAATTCTACTTTTAACAGGAAGAGACCTGGAAAATTCTGGTGAACACTATTAATGATTCATCAATAAGGAAGCAGAATTATAGGAGCTGCAGAGTTCATCTTTAGTAATATGGTATTGCTTCCTGTTTATCTCCCTGAAAAATACAGGCAACTCCATAGTACAGTGGGCAAATACTCAGATGATATCTGGTACCCGAAGAGATGGTTGTATACCTACTGATATATTCCACATACAGTATGTAAGCAGACTACTAAAATATATAGCATAAAAAAATCCATTAACATCATGGACAAAATAAACTAAATTTTACCATAAGAGCATCACAGCCTCAGGGGTGAACTCTCTACATTTTCTTGGAAACATGAAAAACTAGAAAAGTGTAGGCCAAGCAATCATTAGTTGGAGTATATTATTTACGTCCAAGAAAAATTATGACTCTATACAATCAATAAGATAGATGATCAAGTTCAACATACTAAAAATATTAAGTCCAAATTATAGATCAGATTTATCAGTAACATCTGTAAATTATGCATAATGCTGAATGACAGAAATGACCTTAAAGCTGTTTTCTTTTTTTTGTATTAGAAGTAATTTTTTTCATTTGTTTTTACTGAAGTTTTATTTGCCAACATATAGTTTAACACCTAGTGTTCATCCCATCAAGTGACCTCCTCAGTGCCTGTCACCCAAAGCTGTTTTCAATGAAACAGATCAATACTGGGTTTGACATGTGAACATATGGCCATAAGCATAATTTCTAGGCAAACCAAAGTGAAAGACTAAGGAAAGAAGTAAAAGGCAACAGGAAACAGTAAGTCATAACCAAAGCTATATTACCACACTACTAGAGATAAGGCTGATAAAACTCTGATGCACGAAGCTGAGAAAATTTAGTCAGTGGTTTTCACTCTCTGGCCTGCACGTTACATTCATCTGAAAAACTTAACATTACTGAGGCCTGGCCCTATTCCAAGAGACTCTGATCTAACTTATCCAGTATACTGGAGCCCAGGCATGGTCACATTCTTGTTGCTGTTGTCATTTTGTTGTTATTTCATAAAGCTTTCTAATGCATGGCCAGGCTTAAGAAATGCTAAGCTAAGTCATGTAATCTATCAAACTAAAAAATAAACTTGCAAATAATGGGTCTGCTTCATGCAGACGGTATCTGCTAAATATAAAGGAATAACATTTGTGCTAGTGGGGAAATAATTGTATTCCATGCATCGATACTTAAGAAAAATTGCCATCAAGTACATGTTCATATCTATTTTCTTTAAGGAAGGGGAAAATTTCATCTGTCTTTACAGCAACTGATTTTTAGTAAATGAAAAGATAAAATGTATGAATAAACTAATATAAGTTACAAATACTCAACAAAATATTTTCCTCATCTTTTTTCCTAAACTATATCCCAGTATATCTATGATGTTTAATTTATTGTGGAAAACCTTATCATCTGTACCAATCAAAAGACAGTGACAAAGCTCTATTGTGCTTTCAACAATAAAATTAGTAAGTCAGTGGTCCTAAAAAAATATCAACCAGGGGAAAATGACTATTCAAAAAAAAATAAAACTTGGCAAACATGAATTAAAAGTTAAAATTATCATAATCTAAAACTAAAATATTTCATTTTCTCATAAATGCATATAATGTCTTTCTAAGATAACATTTCTCTCCCACCTTAACATAACCTCTGCAAAACATATGTAGTCCATATTCAGTGAAAACTCTAAAATATTTAGTCATGTGTTAAACTAAGCTTACACAAATTAGGATAAAATGATGTTGAAATAATGTATGAAGTAAGATCTAGCTGGTTTAAGCACTGAAAGTTATAAATGCCTATCATTCTTTGCTAATTTTAGAAAAAGAGATTAGATAACCTGTGCAATGTGCATCCCTCATTCACTTCTAGAAAAATCTTTAAGAAAGTCCAGATTGTCTACTATACATTAATTTTTGTGTGAGTCATCTTTTTTCATGGGGGAAGGGGACGTGAACTTAATATGTGGATCAACGTAGTACAGTGTAGAGACAGTATTTGAGGATATGGGAGTTCCAGTGCAGAGAGGACCATTAAAAGATTAAATTTGGGGGAAGTCTACGCCAGAGAACTGTAGGCTGGGGTTGCTACTATCTCCATCTCTCAGGGACAGGGAAATCTCAGCTATCCCTAGATGATACATATTTCAAAATTATTCTTTTTCAATCAGTTTCTCATATGTAACATTTTTTTACCATTTTCCTACCTTGGCTGGCAGTATTTCTGAGTCAACCTCCTTTCTTTCTGTTTCTTGAATAGACTGGGGCAATGAGGTGTTAATGTGAACCTCCCCTACCTGGTAAGTGGAGATCCTTATATAGGCAGAAGTGGGGAATCAGAGCACAAAGGGAGAATCTGGCATGTGCCAGTTGAATTTGAGGTGGAAGGGAATTAAAATTTCAGCTTGAATGAAGAGATCCACAGAGAAAGTCACCCCTATTATATCAGCTCCAAGGGAGCAAGTAAAGAAAAAGACACAGACAAAAAGAGTAAGGGACAAAAAAGAAGCCGGTAGGAAAGGTACCCTGAATGACAGTAGTGGAGAAAGGATGCCCCAGAGCTTGTGAACACTCAGTTGGGTTATCTACCCAGAGCACCTGGCTAGCTGGGGGAGTAGGGAAAGCAAGAGGGGAAACCCGTTTTTTTCTGTCCTCATCATTGCACTAGAGGTCTGCTTAATTTAATCAGCCCTGAATTGATGGTCTTTGCTAAAATTTCAAAGTTCATTTTAATGCTTTCAGAAGGTTAAAAACGTATGGCTCCAGACGCTTGAGTTTGGCTTTGTTTTGCATCAGATTTTTTCCTTGTCCTTGGGATTAACAGTATGAGTACTTGCATCAGGCTACTTAAATTAATCCTGACAGAATTCAAATCCTAGGAGAAATATTAATTGAGACAATTTAAAAATTCACTTCTATTTTTTACTTATATTTAAATATAATTTCTTAGGAATGCCTTGCTCTTAATCATATTGTCGAATCTTTAAGATTCTAAGGTCTGCTTCATCAGAAGCTAGAAGATTTCCCTGTCCTTTGGGAAAGAGGATAAGGGCACAGAAGGGAGAACAATTCTTCCTGTTTTCTGTGGTTGCCAGTAGAAGGGCCTAAGAACACATCTAAAATATTAAAGTGGAGAAGGTGCCTCACATTAAGATGACTGGCTCACAATTATCATGACATGAGCATATGTATATTATTCCATACTGAAATATTTTCATTAAAACAGCCTTCCCTTTCAGTTGCTTTCAAGTTGAATGGAAAAAAAGATACTGCTTATGCCAAAGATATGGCAAAAATCCACTTTAAAGTACCTCAAATTTACACATATTTACTTATACTGCTGATTAAATGGTGTGCCTTAACTATATATACATTCACATGTATATTTGAATATATAATTTTTCCACTATAAAATAGAAACCATCCAGTCAGAAGAATCCACACTTCTGACATCTATTTTTAATTAATATTTCTAATGAAAGCATGGTTTCCAGATTAAAAGTTCCAAAATTAGAATACACAGATAATTGAATTGATTTATAATGAATAAACCAAACCATGGAAATAGGCCTAGTTCACCTATTCTCATTAACCTGAGAGTCCAGTCTATTCATTACCTGTAGTGTGTGATTTAAAGTTTAAAAAAAGTAAAAAAGATACTGAAGGAGTTAGTATGATGAAGTATTCTGTTTGAAGTTTGAAAATCTGGTTGCATTCCATAATTAATTTTCCCTGGGAGCTAGACCTACAACTTAAAGTCTTCTCAAGGGAATTTTTAAAAACTACCAAATGATAATCTTAAAATTGTTTCAAAAGGCAATTATGTAAAGTCCTCAGTTGATTTATACTATATCGCCATTAGGAAAATAAAATTTAAAACTACCCTACTGGGCAGCCCCAGTGGCACAGCGGTTTAGCGTCGCCTGCAGCTCAGGACGTGATCCTGGAGACCCAGGATCGAGTCCCACGACGGGCTCCCTGCATGGAGCCTGCTTCTCCCTCTACCTGTGTCTCTGCCTCTCTCTTTCTCTCTCTCTGTGTCTCTATGAATAAATAAATAAAATTTAAAAAAAATCTCTAAAAAAATAAAAAAATAAAACTACCCTACTTTCCATACTTCCTTTGTTTTTTTTCATTATTTTTTTTAAATATGTATTTATTTATTCATTAATTCATTCATTCATTCGAGACACACAGAGAGAGAGAGAACACACACAGTCAGAGGGAGAGGAATAGGAGAAACAAGCCCTATGTAGGGAGCCCAACATGGGACTCGATCCCTGGTCTCCAGGACCACACCCTGGGCTGAAGGCAGGTGCTAAACTGCTGAGCCACCCAGGCTGCCTCCATACTTCCTTTAAAAAAAAACTTTTTAAAAAATACAAATTTTTTATTTTAAACAGTGTATGTTGTTTTATTTATATAAATATAAAAGTTACATCTTTTGGATTCTTTTTTTATGATAGTCACAGAGAGAGAGAGCGAGAGAGAGAGAGAGAGAGAGAGAGACAGAGACACAGGCAGAGGGATAAGCAGGCTCCATGCACCGGGAGCCCGACGTGGGATTCAATCCCGGGTCTCCAGGATCGCGCCCTGGGCCAAAGGCAGGCGCCAAACCACTGCGCCACCCAGGGATCCCCCCATCTTTTGGATTCTGAGATAAAAATAGCCATAACAAAAACAAGCGCAAGAAGAATAAATATTGATGTTACCGTACCTACCTTTAATGTGATACTATAATGTTCAACACATGTTGCATTTATCCATGATCTTGAATGGGGATCACCCAGGAATTCTATGTGATATTGTTCAACATTTCCATCCAGGTCATAAATCACGTATTTTCCTTTAAAAGGATCTGGGCAAAGTATCCCTGGCCAACTTTGAAAAGAAAGTATTTTTAATTATTTTGATGCTTTTGAAAAGGCAGAAATCAATACATCTTGCTACAATCATACACTAAACTTTCTTCTTTAAATTTTAATAACTCACAAAACCTAAACATATTCATACTTGAATCCTTTAAAAGTAGAATATTCACTTGATACAAGTAATCAGTTGTATCTTTGTAGATATAGAATGCTTTGGAAAAGTCACATATTTAAGATAAATATAAGATATAAGGAGAAAGAAGTATTAGACAGAAGAATCATCTCCAGGATTTGTAAGAGACATTCAGATACTGCTAATAGGAAAGATAAGACTCATGGCAGTTTTGTATCAGCTCTAACCAAGAAGAATGCTTAATTACTAAAATCCCACTGACAGAGTTCTGATGGGGTAGGAGAGAGTTGGCATTTCCTGAGTCAGGGCTGCCCAAGGGGTACTGGTAGCTCAGGCTGTGATAACACTGGAGATTCTAACTACTATGGAAAAGCAGAAATAGAGCTTGGCTGTTTTAATTGCTCCCTTCCCCTAACTGCACCATTGAAAGGAGACCAAATTCCTAAAAAATTTTTAGTACAGGAAACAAAATTTAGCCTTTACTTTTTAAAAATAAATCTTTAGGAATGTGTCCTTTTGTGCCATAAATCCCAAAAAATTCCTTGATATGTTTCATTTTTCCATTTGCCTAAAACAAAATACATGTACCTCAACTAAATTTTAGCTATTTTACCAGTGTCTCTAGACTCTGACCTACTGTTTGTAGCCTAAAGGAGGAAAGGAAGGCAGCAAATAAAGTCAAGAAGATGTGACTAAGGGATGCCAAGTTCTACCTTAGTTTGCAGCTCCCTAGTGAAAAAAGATAGTGATGTTCAAATCAGGAGATTCAAGACTCTGGCTCTGCCTTCTATTAGACAAGAGGCCTCAAGCATGTGATGAGGCTTTACTGTGACTCTGGTTCCTCAATGTGCTGTTACAAAATTCACACAAACTGTGCTTTACACATTTTTGGTTTTTGGCAAATTAAAATATTATAAAATGCCATCATTATGAACCAAATAGTTTTCTGCTCACCAAATTCTTATATTTAAGTTCTTATAACTCCAGTACCTCAGAATGCGACTGCATTTGGAGATAGTGTCTTTATGAAAGTAGCTAACTTAAAGGTGAGCCCTAATCCAACATGACTGGCTTCCTTATAAAAAGAGATAGATTAGGACACAGACATGCACAGAGGGAAGACGATGTGAAGATACAAGGAGAAAGATGCATCTACAGGCCAAGGAGAAAGCCTCAGAAGGAATCAAACCTGCTGACAACTTGACCTGAGTTTCCTAGCCTCAGAATGGTAAGAAATTAAATTTGTTATTTTTTTCTAAATATTTTATTTATTTATTCATGAGATACAGAGTGAGAGAGAGAAAGGCAGAAACACAGGTAGACGGAGAAGCAGGCTCCATGCAGGGAGCCTGACATGGGACTCGATCCCAGGTCTCAAGGATCACACCCTGGGCTGAAGGTGGCGCTAAACCGCTAAGCCACCCAGGCTGCCCGATTTCTGTTATTTTTAAGCTACCCACAGTCTCTGATACATCGTTATGGCAGCCCTAGCAAACTAATTATATACAGGTATATAATCATATACAGGAAGATAAATGGTATAACTGAGAGGTAAAAAGAATGATACAAAAATATTTTTACCTCAGTTATTTAGAAACTAGGTAAGTTAGATATTTAGACAATTTTAAAACCTAAAGGAAGCATACAGATCATGCTATAAAGAATCTGAAATCACAAAAATGCAAAATCTGTAAATTACCTGGGTTTGAGGACTACAGATGGTTGATTTTCTATTAAGTTATCAATTGATAAGAAAGTTACAAAGTTATAAATATAGAAATATATCTACCACACCACTGTAAAAAAGTTTTTACAGATCACAAACAACACAATGTAAACTAACAAAAATACTTCATTCTTAGTATTATTAATGCAAAAAATATTAATTCCAGGAAATTGACAAATCCCAAGTGTAGCTGCCAGGAGGTGATGACTTGGGTGCACCAGTCACCAGGGACAGTGAAGTGTGCAAAGAAGGAGATGTCTAGCTGTTCCCTGGATGCTGAGCAGAGTTCTTTGGCTCTTAGACCTCTCTGGGTAATGGGAAGGGAAGGTAGAAGCTCTGTCTGGCAGCCCTAGATCATGAAGAGGAGGGCAAGAGGATTACAAATTGAATTAGACTATGTGGAACCCAAAGCAGCCTAATACTTTGGAGAATTGGAAATGATAATGGAAAGTCAAGTAAAGATTCAGGCCCTAATGAAGAACCATCTAGTTATTATCAGGTTTACATCAGAGTATCATTGCTATTTGGCAACACTTAAGACTGTTTAAGAGAAAACTTGAGTTGGAGTTTATCTTTTAAACCTACATTGGAAATCTGCATTTCTGAAGGGACTCACTCAAAAGAAGATTTCCATAGGCAAATAAATGACTAAAAATGAATGGTAGCTGTATTGAAGACTCCTAACTTATCAGAATAAAAAACAGTGGGTCCTCCAATGGATTAATAATAATTTTAAAAGAAACCAAATTGATTGTTACACTGTATTTGTTGATTACTCTTTGTAAAATGCAAGGGGCTCATGTTTAATACTAGGTTATTTGTACCTCACAAAAATTTTAAAAAGGATTATTGACATGCAATATCAAATTATAAGTAGTACCAATTTCACGCAGTGTAAAACAATCACAGGATTTCTATCACTTGAGATATGAAAAAAACCCTTGCAGTTATTATGTTTAAGATAAGCTTTTCCGACACAAATTCTGATACAACTTCTTTTAACACCAAACCTACTGGGCCCGAGAGTATTCAATTTAAATTATTACTCTATAAAATATAAATAAAAATTTAAAAAATATATAAATAAAAATAGAGATGACTCTTAAAAAGAATTAGATACTAATAAAAGACTGTTGGTTATTTAAAACATTCATGTTATAGAATATATTGCATGCTGATTTATAGATGAATTATGAAAAGTATTGTCAGATGTCCAAATAACTAGGGCATGTTAATATTTTGTCAGGCAGTGCAAAGGAATTGTCTGACTCCTAGTCTATGCATTTCATCTGAAACAGAATGTACCAAACTGCAGGAGAAGCTGAGAAGAGGCAACAGACACAGAAAATATGATTACTTCTCTCCACATGCTGTATCCATCATTTTCCCTGACTCAGTGTGATTGAAGAAAACTGATGTCCATTTTTTGCTTTCAGTCTGAACTCTATTTGAGATGATAGTGCATTGTGCACTTCTACTTTCTGATTTTTCACATTTATATTGATGAAAAATTCAGAAGTGTTGTCTTATGGGCTTAAAGGTGAAGAGGGAGAAGAAGAGTAGGCAACCCAATAGGAAGGTATTAGGATTACAAGGAAAGTTGTGTGATTAATTTTAGAATCTGTGGGTGGTGGGAGGTAAAATGTACAAATATAAAATAGACAAAGAGATATCAGGTGTTGGAATCCACTTCGGGGTAAGGGGAAATTTGGGCACAACAAGCAGCTTCAAGAGAAGTGCAAATATATCATGAAGAAACTGATGTCATACACATTTCTCATCTAGTGGAAGTAATCTTTAATAAGATAGCTATTGCCTTCAGTAGAAGTTGAAACTTAAGCATGATTGCAATTGTCATATACTCAATGTGAAGCACATGACTGTATTTTCAAACTATGGTTTGGATGTTTGGAGAACTAATTTTACTTGGGCCTCATTCTTAATCTGTGGGAAACAAAATGGATGAGTTGGAATCATCACTAACTGAATGCTGTATTTGCCACAAAATCTCTAAGCTGTATCTAACTATAGGGGGCTGATAAGAAGAGGCAATTCCCCATCTCCATTCCCTCACACACATTATAAGTGTGTGTGTGTGTGTGTGTGTGTGTGTATGTATATATGTATATATACATATATATATATACATATATATATATATATATATATATATATATATTAAAGTTCATGAGCCGAGGAGGGGGGCACAGGCAGACTCCATGCAGGGAGCCCAACGTGGGACTCGATCCCAGAACTCCAGGATCATGCCCTGAGCCGAAGGCAGACCTCAACAGCTGAGCCACCCAGGCATCCCACATTATATTAATCCACAGGCAAAAGAATGCAAATAAGAAGTAATCAAATAATATTTTATGACTGAAAGGATCTATAGAAATCAATTTATAAATTTGAATACTATATTTAAAATGTATCACTGTATTAGTTTGTTAATTTAAAGGCATATTTTACCATTAAATTGTACTATAGTAAATTAGAATGCAAAAATACTTTCTATAAATTAATTTTCACATTTAAAAAAACTTTGTGGGATCCCTGGGTGGCACAGCGGTTTGGCGCCTGCCTTTGGCCCAGGGCGCGATCCTGGAGACCCGGGATCGAATCCCACGTCGGGCTCCCGGTGCATGGAGCCTGCTTCTCCCTCTGCCTGTGTCTCTGCCTCTCTCTCTCTCTCTGTGTGTGTGTGACTATCATAAATAAAAATAATAAATAAATAAATAAATAAATAAATAAATAAATAAATAAATAATAAATAAATAAATAAAAAATAAAAAAACTTTGTAAAATGTGTAAATATACCCAAGGTTGTTACCTTAAATAGAACCTAGTTTCTGCTTGACAATGTCTCTGTAATTTGATTTTCTATGGAGCTTGACTATAGACAAAGTGCTTTCTTTCTCTTTACAACTCTTTATTTTTATTATATAAAGAGTAAATAGTCATTTCTAGATTCTCTATCAGTCTCTCTGTAGCTTTTTTTAGCTTTATCAGAGAAGATCAACTGTTCTGGGAAAGAATAATTCTGGGATGTTGATAAGATTGAGTTTCTGAGCCTTCAAAGCTGGGTGTAAGGCCATGGGCTAATGAGAACTGACCCAGATAATGCTGCCTGCTAAGTGCCTCTACAGACAGC